AAATTCTAGAAAGGGAAAAACATGGAATTCTAGAAATTCATGAAATTCTAAAAAGTGATAAGAAGGAGATCAGTGACTGCCTAGGATGGGGATTAAAGGGGATGAAACTCACTGCAAAAGAGCATGAGAGAACTTTTCAAGTGATGAAATGGCCAATTGTGTATACATTTGTCAAAACTCATTATATACTTAAAACTGGTAAATTTATCGGTATGCAAATTATACCTCAGAAAAGATGCTTTGGGGCACTTGGGTAGCTCAGCGGTTTAGCACCTACCTTCCACCCATCGCGTGATCCTGGTTTAGTGCCTGCCTTTGGTTCAGGTCCTTATCTCAGGGTCCTGGGATTGAGCCCTCCATCAGGCTCCCTACTCAGCAGGAAGCCTGCTTCTCCCTTTCCCTCTCCCCTCTGTTCTCTCTCTCTCTCTCAAATAAATAAATAAAATCTTAAAAAAAAAAGATGCTTCAAAAAGTGAGTTAAGAGAAAAACTATGAGTAGGAAACAATTATTAATAATTATCATTACCATATTACCATTAGCATATACTATATGCCAGGTCCTTAACTTATATGATTATATTTTATCTCAAAACCACCATGCAGAATTTACCCAAAGAATATGAAAACACTAATTTGAAAAGATATGCACACCCCTATGTTTGCTGCAGCATTATTTATAATAACCAAAACAAAAAAACAACACAAGTGTCCACTGATAGATGAAGATGTGGCACATGTGTGTGTGCATATATATTTCCCCCCAATGGAATACTACTCAACCATGAAAAAGAATGAAATGTTGCCATTTGCAACAACATGGATGGATCTAGAGGATATACACTGCTAAGTGAAATAATCAGAGAAAGACAAATACCATAGATTTCACTCATGTGGATTTTAAGGAAAAAAACAAATGAACAAAGAAAAAGAGACAAACAAAAAACCAGACACTCAACTATAGAGAACAAATTGATGGTTACCAGAGGGAAGGTGGGGGGAGGGACAGGAGAAATAGGTAAAGGGGATTAAGAGTATACCTATTATGATAAGCACTGAGTAATGTATAAAATTGTTGAATCACTATATTGTACACCTGAAACTAATATAATGCTGCATTAATTATACTGGAATTAATTAATCAATTAATTTTTTTAAAGCCACCAGGCAAATTAGGCATTATTTCTTTGCCTTTTTTTTTTTAAGATTTTATTTATTTGAGAGAGAGAGAGACAGAGAACACAAACAGGGGGAGCTGCAGAGGGAGAAGCAGGAAGCTTGACGTGGGGCTTGATCCTAGAACCCTGGGACCACGATCCAGGCTTAAAGCAGCTACCCAGCCGACTGAGCCACCCAGGCACCCCAGGCATTATTATTTCTTTTTATAAAAGTCTAAGGATAACATGTCTGATTTTAAGACTCCCTAATGGTCTTCTTGCCTTTTCTGCAAATTTTCTTTAATAAACAACAAGATTAAATAAATAGCTAGTAACTAGCAGACAGAAGATTTGAGTAAGCCCAGACCCCTTTAAAACAAAAGTTGCACATTCAGAAAAGAGTTTTACTTTATTGGAGTTTAAAAAGCACAAAATTAAGTGTAATGTAAGATAGATCTACTCATACAGGAAGAGTTTAGCAGTGTTTATCATATAGGGCACAGGGCATTGAATAAATATAAAGAAACTTTCTATTTCACATTTATTTTTTTTTAAGATTTTATTTATTTATTCATGAGACAGAGAGAGAGAGAGAGAGAGAGAGAGAGAGGCAGGGACACAGGCAGAGGGAGAAGCAGGCTCCATGAAGGGAGCCCGACATGGGACTCAGTCCCGGGTCTCCAGGATCAGGCCCCGGGCTGAAGGCAGCGCTAAACCACTGAGCCACCTAGGCTGCCCCTCTATTTCACATTAAACTGCATTGTTTAAAAATATTTTAAACAGCATTTTGTATGTTAATAAAAACTTAAAAAGATATTATATAACCCCAATTATTAAATTCAGAATGGGGGACGCTTGGGTGGCTTAGCGGTTGAGCATCTGCCTTCAGCTTAGGGAGTGATCCCGGGTCCAGGGATCAAGTCCCACATCGGGATCCCTGCAAGGAGCCTGCTTCTCCCTCTATGTCTCTGCCTCTCTCTCTGTCTCTCATGAATAAATAAATAAAATCTGTTATAAATTAATTAATTCAGAAGGGATCCCAGTTTTTTGATAGTCATAACTTAAAAATTGTGAAATATTTAATAATAAAATATCCTTCTATACACTTTATTTAAGTGTATTTAAGAAGAGCTCAATGACATCTAGAAATCAACACTTGAAAATGGCTTACATTAATCCAAAATAAATATTTACATAGCAATTAAATACCTGTTGAATGATTAAAGATCATACTGTAGCTTATTTAAAATTCTGAAAGATGATGTATCACAAGGACAATACCTACAGGTAAAAATTTTCTTTATATATGTAAGCTAGTATCTGGAGTTCTGCTCATTTCTTTACTAGGAGAGCTGCTGGGATAATCAACTACACCTAATTAAAGTCTGCTTACAATTGCAACTGCCTAGTAATCCTGATGGGACAAGACACAGAAAGAGATTAAATTAATTAGCAGTCAAATGCTAATTAGCAGTAATAAGATTAAATAAGTAAGTAAGATTAAACATAGGTATACTATACATAAAAGTCTAAGGACAACATGCATGATTTTAAGACTCCCTAATGGTCTTCTTGCCTTCAATTTTGTTCTCTTCAAGACCCTTTTACATACTTTCATAAATACAGTGACTTGGTTATAAATGAACAGCAGGCAGAAGACTGTAGCAATACAGAACATGCAGGAAGAAAACAAGTACTGAAGGTCATTACAGAAGAATTTCAAGATAGGGCTTGAACAAAAATATCTGGATAATGAGACAAAATAAAAAATAAACATGAATGATGTTATAGAATCATGGAAATCTCAGAATACAGTAATGACTTAGATATGGGGCTAAGAAATGGTTTGCTAATTTGTTTCCATATACCCTGAATTATAATCATAGAGACAGGAAAAAACCCAGAGAGCATATACATAAACAAAGTGGGCACTAAATAAGAAAGAAAAATCAAAGAAGAGGATATAAAATAGTAGCAGGAATTAAAAGACATGGTAGCCAAAAAACTGCAGATAATATTCCTGGAAAATTGCTACAGAAATACCACTTAAAAAAAAAAAAGAAATACCACTTTTATTATAGAAGAATTATTAAAGGAGGAGTTTTTTTTGAAACAGAAAAAGACCTATGCTTTTGTTTCAATGAATTTAAAACTTTGGACAGATACCTATTTTGAAATTTCTAAGGACGATGATACTGGGAATAAGACCAAGGAATAAAAAATGTATAATGAAGCAAGTTGTATGTCATCTATATAATGAATGTAATTAAAACTCTTACAATGAATTTCAGGAGAACATGAAGTATGAGGCTAGAACCCTGAAGAATCTCTATTTTAAGCAAGGATAAGGAAGGGAGTACTTCTAAAAAGAAACTACATAGGTAAACCAGGCTCCAGATCCATACATCCATATGCTTTCAAAATTGCTCCTCACCATATGGATCCACTGACACTTCAGACTTAACATGACCAATAATGGGTTCATAGTCCTGTCAAACCTGTTTCCCCACATGTATGAACGGCACCATCATCCACCCAAACACCTCCGTCTGAAACTTGAGAGGCTGCCTGTCTCTTCCCACACCTAGTCAGTGACCTACTGCTGTTAATTAAAATTCTCTTTTCCTTCTTTCTTCTTTTATTTTCTCCTTTTATCACAGTCCTTTCTTTTATTTTCCCCCTTTCTATTCTCATTATTGGTCCTCTCATTTACATCTTCAATAAACTTCACCTAGACTAAATAGTTTCCAAGCAGGTCCCCCTGACTCCAAACTTTCCATATATCACCTTTCCATATACACCTTCCATGTATCTTAAGTACAGAACTCACTTTATGATTTTTCAAATGTATTAACTTTTCCTAAAATTTCACAATGAAAGTAAAATCAAACCTCAGGACAACACAAAATCCTTCATTAAGACCCTCCCTTCACTCCCTCCTCATAGTCTGGGTCCCATCCCAGCTGACCTACTTGTAATTTCCCCAGCATACTCTGATAACCTGTTCTCTCTACCTGCGGAGCCTTTTCTGTTTTCCCCATGGCTAACTCCTAACCATTCTCAAGGCTCAGTCACTTGATTTTGTTTATTTACTGTATTATCTTCTCTCCTTGACTATAAACAACTTATAAACAAGGACTGTACTTTCTATCTCCCAACACTTAGTAGAGCAGGTGGATGAATGTATGGTCATTAATTCCATAAGCATGTCCTGCCATGAAATGTGCCAGCCAAGAGCTTAGTTACTGGTTGACTGAGTAAGAACAAAGTCTGCTCAAACATAAACGATTAAAAATAGTCATCTTTCATTTCTGGTAGGGAATAAGACAGATATAAAAGAAAGAAGAATTAAAAGAAGAAAAATAATTAAAGCCAGAGTCAGATAAGAGGTAAGTCTTCCTGTAATAAAATATGAGTACCAACAGAGGCAACTAGTTTCTAAAAGAGCTGAGAACAATATACACTGCACAATCATTTGCTGTACCCCATTTTTTATAACAATAACCTGAAGTCTGTTAAATAACTGGATAAATGGGCTAAGAACAAGATCAATATTTGGCAGGAGGATGAATAAAAACAATACACTAAATGACTATATCACAGAATAGAAAAATTTTCAAGAATTCTTATAAAATTCCCTGAAAGCTTTGGTTAAATTTCCCCACTAAAATAAAAGAAAAAAGAAGTACTATTTCATTTTGGCTACACTATTTGTACACTTAAAAATACAATTTAGTAGGTGATCATATTGGGTGTTAACTTCCCCATGAGGAATATAACCTCCATTGAGGAAAAGTTACATGTTCTTTTAGTTGTCAAGTGGGAGTCAAAGAAAATTGAACTTACTGTCCACGAGGATACCAACGGTGCTTAGTAGTAAAGAACATTTTGCTAAGTTGTTCTATCATGAGTCCTTGCTCAAAGTGTTCATTTTTTTCTTCTAGTCTGGTTTTCAGCACTTGGTCATGTGTTTCTTCATTATTATACACAGGATCTGGCCGAGGGATAGGCTACAAAATCATCAGTAATGAACAGCATCAAAATGTAGGAATGTTAGCCAGCATTTGATTGACTTTACAATACAACAATTACCACACTCCAGAATTCATTATAGTACCTTAGGATGGGTAAGTTTTCAGAACAGAATTTTACTCAGTTGCATTATTCATTAAAGAATCAGAAACACGGGGATCCCTGGGTGGCGCAGCGGTTTGGCGCCTGCCTTTGGCCCAGGGCGCGATCCTGGAGACCCGGGATCGAATCCCACGTCAGGCTCCAGGTGCATGGAGCCTGCTTCTCCCTCTGCCTGTGTCTCTGCCTCTCTCTCTCTCTCTGTGTATGACTATCATAAATAAATAAAAATTAAAAAAAAAAAAAAAAAAGAATCAGAAACACGGGTACCTGGGTGGCTCAGCTAGTTAAACATCCAACTCTTGATCTTGGCTCAGGTCATGATCTCAGGATTGTAAGATCAAGCCTCGCATCAGGCTCCACGCTGGGCATGGAGCCTGCTTAAGATTCTTTCCCCCAACCTCTCACTCTCCCTCCTCTAAATAAAAAAAAAAAGAATCCTAAGTACTTTCCCTCTCATATTAAGTTTTCAGTCTCTTTTCCAACAATAAAGTTCTTATTTAATGTTATTTCCCCCCAATAATAAAGTACTTATTATGTTAATAATTTCTATTTCCCAAAACTATAAACTGTACCCATTATTTTTTAACTTACAAGTTTACAGTCTCAGGGTACCTGGATGGCTGAGTCAGTTAAGCATCTGCCTTGGGCTCAGGTAATGATCCCGGGGTCCTTGGATAGAGCTCCACATTGGGCTTTCTGCTCAGTGGGGAGTCTGCTTCTCCCTCTGCCCTTCCCCCCCACTCGTGCTCTCTCTCAAATAAATAAAATCTTTAAAAAGAATTTTTTTAAGTTTACAGTTCTCTAACTTTGCTTATCATTAAAGTGAGATAAAATGAAATTGGTAATTCTTATATCCAAAGGAAACTTTTTTTTTTAATTTTTATTTATTTATGATAGTCACAGAGAGAGAAAGAGAGAGAGGCAGAGACATAGGCAGAGGGAGAAGCAGGCTCCATGCACTGGGAGCCCGATGTGGGATTCGATCCAGGGTCTCCAGGATCGTGCCCTGGGCCAAAGGCAGGCGCCAAACCGCTGCGCCACCCAGGGATCCCCCAAAGGAAACTTTTTAAAAAATTTTCAATGTTTTCATTTTAGGTGAATGAAATGTCACCAAATGATGCTTTCTGAAAACTTGAGTACTTTTTCCTTTTTTTTTTTTTTAACTTTTATTTATTTATGATAGTCACACAGAGAGAGAGAGAGAGAAAGAGGCAGAGACATAGGCAGAGGGAGAAACAGGCCCCATGCACTGGGAGCCTGACGTGGGACTTGATCCCGGGTCTCCAGGATCGCGCCCTGGGCCAAAGGCAGGCGCCAAACCGCTGCACCACCCAGGGATCCCCTTGAGTACTTTTTCACCTAAAGACATCAACTACTAAAAATCTCATCTCCTCCCCAACACATCTGAATAATATAACATGTTCCCATCAGTAATTAGCTCATTAAAGCCTTTAAGATTAATCACTGTCTTAGAAAGTCAAGTGTCCTATATATTTTAATTATTAAATAATATATGTAACATGAGGTGGTAACATTGTCCTGCTTTACAAATACCGTATATGTGTATTATATTACAATGAAAATCTGAATTTATAATCAGAAAGAAAACAATTCAAACATAAATGTCTTTACATTCATACACTATTAATGACAACTACTACATACTCTCATTTTATTAAATATTAGAGGATATACTTATATTTGTTTGGCATATATACATGAAAAAATAAAATTTCTTTAAGAAGCAATATACAAGTGCATGAAGGTGCCACAACTGGCTTAGTACTACAGAATTGCAAAGTAACAAAGGTATTAGTGATAGGTAGAAAAAGAGCCCAGTCAGAGCCTTGTCACTGAGTGCAGAATGCATTCTACAAGGGATAACAAATATTATGAGAAAGGAAAGTAGGAAAGAACACACAATAAAGAGATAAACTCTAAAAATGGATCTTGAGAAACCAGATTATGAAAGACCTTCAAAGTCAGACTTAAAAGTAACAATGCAAGGTAAATCGAAATACTTAGTGTGGGAGGTAATGAGGAGGCAGTATAACAAAGAGGTTTTTTTTTTTTTTAAAGATTTATTTATTTATTCATTCAGAGAGAGAGACAGGCAGAGAAACAGGCAGAGGGAGAAGTAGGCTCTGTGCAGGGAGCCCAATGTGGGACTCGATCCCTAGTCTCCAGGATCATACCCTGGGCTACAGGCGGCACCAAACCGCTGCGCCACAGGGGCTGCCCAACAAAGAGGTTAAGAACTGGAGCTTTGGTCTCTAATTCTGTCATGTACTAGTTCTGGACCTTGGACAAGTTATTTAAGCTCTTAATTTCCCTTTCTGTAAAGTCAGAGGCACAATACCTACCCAAAAGGGCTTGGTGAAGATTAAATGAAATAATAATATATGGTATGGTTAGCTGTCCCTCACACTCTTAAGAGTTCAATAATGGTAGGTAGCTATTAAGATTTCTTTGAGGCCTCAAACAGGAGAAAAGTGATATAAATTTTAAAAAAAAGTTTTCCTTAGACATTTAATTTTAAAAGATCATCACTTGTATGTAAAGTAGAAAATTAGTGTCTTTGAAAGTTACTATCAGACCCTCAGAGGTCTAGCAAACACAGGATTAGAGCCTCTAATAGTTTTCTCTCTTTTAGGTCACTATACTTGTTGCTAAAGATCAAATGTTTATAGTATTATCAAAAGTTGTTTTCAAGCATTCATAAATGTTCCATTGTTTCTCTCCCTATTCCCAAGCAGGCTCAATTCTAATATATCACAAATTCTCTCTGCTTTGTATGGATTAAAAATACTTCTTTTCTTGGCACATAGATAAAAGACATCAGAATTAATGGATTCGTCAAAGTCTAAACCAAGAGCCTCTGGCTGACTCAGAATTGATTTTTAGGTAGTTTTTGATCTCCTTGATCAAACTTCAAAGAAAGGATACATGACTATTTCAGTAAAAAGGAAAAACTAAAATAAAACTGTCATGTTTAAAAAACATTCAGATTGTCATTCTGAATTTCCCTTGCTTCTCTTAAGAATTTTCAAAATTTTACTTTTGAAATTTTCCACTAAATCAGCCACTAAAAAGAACTGTCTAGTCCTTACATTTTAATCTTTCCAAGTCATTATTTTTCCCCTAGCATAATATGTTTATTTTCCTAAACTAGAAATCCTAAATTCTAGAAAAACACTTTTAGAATATTTGTACTTTTCATAAAATATATACTTGGCAAAAGAAGGATCTTTTTACCTGGATCTGTGGAAAACTGTATGTTTTAGATTCAAATTACCAGAAAATCAAAGATGCAAATCATCCTAACTTTCCTAAAGCCAGTCTCAGTAGGTATTTCTATATTTGCAGGATCTCTGTATGTAGTATGCTTTCCAAGGCCTACAGAATCAAAGGGCCCACTGGAGTTGTAGCAGTTGTAGATACCTCTTTCAGAAAAGAAAAAAATCAAGACTACAACTCAAGTCATGTTGGAAAGTTTTTACTTACTGTCATGTAGTACTTGCATGAGATTTATAAATCTAGATTCATAAAGAACATACTGTATTCTAACTTCTAAGAGTAACATGTTTTGGGATCCCTGGGTGGCGCAGCGGTTTGGCGCCTGCCTTTGGCCCAGGGCGCGATCCTAGAGACCCAGGATCGAATCCCACATCGGGCTCCCGGTGCATGGAGCCTGCTTCTCCCTCTGCCTATGTCTCTGCGCCTCTCTCTCTCTCCCTCTGTGACTATCATAAATAAATAAATAAAATTAAAAAAAAAAAAAAAAAGAGTAACATGTTTTCAAGAATGTTATTGTGCAGCCCAATCTACAATTTATTACTTGAGAAACAAAAAAAATTCCATGCTTCCCCATGTGAATATCTCTTAGCCCTAAAACAGAAAAGCCATAAGTATAAAGAGGTAGGAACAAATTTATTCATTTAATCAACAAATATTTATTGTACACTTAACAAGTAAAAGTGTTACTCCAGATGCTAAGGTTGTAGCAGAGAACAAAACACAGAGCCCTGTCCTCATGGAGCTTACATTTTAGTGGTGGGAGATAGACAGGAAAACAAGAAAATGTCTATTGTGCCAGAAATGAGACAAGCTATTCAGAAAAGACAATAGGAAGGAGTCTAGGGGCAGGAGTACTACTTTAAATGCAGGAGTCATTCACTAGTTAACAAATAAAGAAAGGGAATAAATAAATTATGAGGTCTCCGAGGGAAAAGCATTCCAGGCAAAAGCAGGAGGAACTACAAAAGGCCCTGAAGTAGGAGTTACCTAATGTAATTGAAGAACAGGGGGGAAGCCTGTTCTGCCTGTTGCTCCCTCTGCCTGTGTTCTGTCAAATAAATAAGTAAAACCTTAAAAAAAAAAAAAAAAAAAAAAGCCTTTAAAGAAAGAAGATGAAAAACGAAATGAGAAAATGGAAATAGTAAAATAAAAACAAAACAAAACAAAAAATTGAAACCAAAGAAAGGAAACCAAACAATTCTACTCTCTTTGGATACTGAAAGAAATGTGAATATTTCTAACAGCAAATTATAAATTACAAGAAATTTTTCTCATACATACTTTTGTATGCTCATATGGAATGTCCACAGAAGGGTGGTAGCATACTATCGTCCTGCCGTCAGATGTCAAAGCAAGCTCTACTTTGCTAAAAAAGAATGTTTTAGAAACAGAGTTATGCTGTATTCAAGGCAGAATGAGTTTCTTAGAGACAAAATTAATTAATCATAAATCCCTGGATAAGAGATTGTATGGCACTGGATTAGCAAACCTGGTACCCATATCATCGGAGACAACGCAGACCGTCTCACAAAGTTTATCAGCTTAACTACCACAACAGACCATGAATGCATAACTCACTATTTTATCTATTTGTTTTTAGACTTATAGACTCTACTTCCAAATCTTTGGAAGGGATCTTCATGTTTACTCATCACTATTATTAGAACTTTTTTTCCTTATCTAGAAACTACCTTTGGGGTGCCTCGGTGGCCCAGTCAGTTAAGGGTCTGCCTTCACCTCAGGTCATGATCTTGGGGTCCTGGCATGGAGCCCAGAGTCAGGATCCCTGCTCAGCAGGAATCTCCTTCTCCCCCTGCCCCTCCTACCCCTGCTCTTTCTAATAAATAAAATATTAAAAAAAAAAAAAAACTACTTTCAAAAAGCTGTAAGAACTATATTAATTTGTTGAATTATTAGAATTAAAGATCGGCAAGGTACATAATCTTCCAGGCAAAGGATCACCTGAATTTCCAATCATAAAGACTACAGCTGAGAACTTTTTCTAGATCAAATGCTTTCTCCAATGTCTTTGGCAGAACAGTACAGCAGTAAGAAGCCTCCCATTAAAAGAGTTCTGCAGTCAAAATTTGGGAATTACTGAATACTATCTCTTCCCTCCATTAATATCCCTCAGATAAACACATTTTGGGCAATACTTCTTTAAATATTTTTTCCAGGAATACTCTGGCTGGATCTTATTCAGGTATCAACTAACCATGACTATTTTTCAAAGACTCCGCAACTACTATTATACTTAAATACATGTGTGTTCTAAGGAACACAACTTACGGCTTTCATTAACCTTACAGGTTCTCTAGATGTCTGTAAATTTAAGTTTCTAAGATTTCAATACCAACTAGATTTGAACCAGATCAGCTTAAACACTAATAGTGCATTTTAACTAACATGGGATAAGGTATTAGGTTGTTTCACCATGATTTTAAGATCAAATAGCATAACATGGCTATATTGAACCTTTGACCTATCAGGTATTTTTTTATGAAGAATGGAGTTTTACATAATACAAGACACTTGTAAGACTCAATTTTTTCAGGTTCAGAAAGTGTTACTATATTGAACACCAATAAAAATTAATTTATAAAAAAAAAAAAAAAAAAAAAAGAAAGAAAGTGTTACTATTACCTAGTTTAATTTCACCATCATCTTAGTTCTTACTAAATATACATTTAAAATTCACATTAAAACTAGTGTCAAGGGAAGAAAATACATTTTTACTAATATTTGGAATAAAAACAATGTAGCTTAAGAAAATATGTTTCAGTTTCTGTACATTAGACTCTACTATAAGAAGAAAGGCATCTCATTCATATGTTATTCCTAGTTCTTATTCTTAGCATAGGGACTGGAATTAAATAAGTACCAAATAAGTTGCGACTGAATTAAATTATTTGTAATTTAGGATTATTCAATGTCAAACAAAAGATAAGATAAATAACTGCTTAAGCTAATAGATATGAACCCGAAGAGGAAAAACCTATAAAAACTAATTAACTTTTCCAAAAAGCTAAAGAATGCTTTGGGATAAAAGATAGCATTTCTAACAGCATGTCTGTCTTACAACAAATTAAGGATTCACTGAAAAACAATGATAATGATTTTTATTTAAAACATTTGTGAGCCCAGATACTGTGTAAATAAAGCCATTGAAATAATTTTTAAATACAAAATTAAGGAAAGAATAATCAGAAAAGAATGCAGAAAATACCAAAACAAGAAATAAAATTAAATAATTTCAGATACAACTAACAGACTATTTTTTTCAACTGAATTTAAATACGTACCAATTATAGTCATCTGGTAGAGGAGAATACGTAGATTTATGACAGAAACAATATAAAGCTCCATCTGCAAAAACCCAAGCAGTAAAATGGATTTAGTTAATTTGAACATACATTCTCGCATAAATGTAAAGCTAGTTTCACTCATTCAACCATTATTTATTGTGTCTACTATGAAACAGGGCTAGAGATCAGGAATTCAATAAGATCTAGTCCTTGCTCTCAAAAAGGGTACAAGTCTTATGAGAAATAAACAAATAATTCCAATATAAATGACAAGCCCTGTTAGGATGGGTAAGCATTGGGAAAGGGCACATAGGTTACAAAATAGGACTGTACAGGTTTAAGAAAGCCTTTCCAGTAAAGATGATGTCTAAGGTATCTAAAGGATGGAGGAATAAGCAGGAGTTGGTAGGGATGAGTATATTGTTTCTTGCAGAGACTTATAAGTGCTAAGGACCACAGAAATATGGGAAGTATTTAGGTATTCTAAAAACTTGTGAAAATAAATATTTTTGTGAGACCAAGTGTACAGTTCACAAAGGGAAAGTGTTAAGTGATGAAATACAAAATAAACTGTCAAATTTAACTCTTCTTAATCAAAATGCTCACATTTCAAACCATATTCTCCTTTTTTAGAATACCTGCAAATTCAAGAGCCATAATTACTTTAAGTTTAAATTTCTCCTATGTTCAGAGAAAGTGTTCTTTTAAATATAAAGAAAAAAAATTTAAATGTAGCTCGGTATAGTTAAAAATGGTTTTGAAAAGAGTAGTCCTCCCATATCTGTGTTTTTGTTTTCTGCAGTTTTAGTTACCCAAGGGGAACCAACCACCGTCAAAAAGCAGATGATCCTCCTTCTGACATAGTGTCAGGTCAGTAGTAGTAATGCTATATCACAATGCTTATGTTATTCACCTTGCTTCATCTCATCACACAGACATTTTATCCCACATTATCACAAGGGTGAGTATAGAACAATAAGGTATTTTGAGAAAGAGCTTATTTACATAATTTTTATTATAGTATATTATTAGAATTGTCCTATTTTATTATTAATTATGGTAGTTAATCTCTTACTGTGTCTGTTACGTTTATCACAGGTATACATGTATAGGAAAAAGCACAGTGTACATAGGGTTCAGTACTATCCACAGTATCCAGCATCCACTGGATATCTTGGAATATATTCCCTATGGATAAGGAGAACTACTGAACAGGCTGGCTAAAGCCAAGGATCAACTTCTCTCAACTGAGCCTCTTGCTTCTCAGTAGGAATGCAATCCCCACTTTGTTCAAATACCACTCATCCTTCAAAGTCAAATGCTACTCTTCCATGAAATTCTTTTTTCCCCTCCCTGCCCCACAATTCCCATCACAGAGAAAAGAGTGGTCTATTCTACACATGCCCCAACTGATGGTTCATTTGACATCACTACCTTCTTTGTGGTCTTTTTTTTTTTTCCTGCATCAGTTATTTATATGTATCAAAAATATAAGACTTATTTTCTATCTTTGTATACTCCTCCTTTTCCCAAGGACTGCATATAGAGGTCTAAACATAAAGTCTTACTCCAAACATAAAAAATGCCTTAACAAAACTCTTTTATCATAAAAGATTGCTCAACAATGTCAATCCCAAAATTCTGTGGATGTAAGATAATATAAAGAATTAGACATTTAACTTCAGGGCAGCCCCAGTGGCGCAGCGGTTTAGTGCCGCCCGCAGCCTGGGGTGTGATCCTGGAGACCCAGGATCGAGTCCCACATCGGGCTCCCTGCATGTGGCCTGCTTCTCCCTCTGCCTCTCTCTCTCTCCCCCCACCCCCGCCCTGTGTGTCTCTATGAATAAATAAATAAAATCTTAAAAAAAAAAAAGAATTTTAACTTCATCTCTCAAAAGATTTGATTTTCAATTATCTGTGCTAATACAGAGGAGTATTCAACAAGACAAATCAGATGATAATGTTAAAACCATTTACGATTCTTTTATTTTATTGACCCTGTTGGGGATCTTCTTAAGTATGTACAAATTAATATTTTTTTTTAAAGAATTTATTTATTCATTCATGAGAGACACAGAGACACAGGCAGAGGGAGAAGCAGGCTCCATGCAGGGAGCCCGACGCGGGACTCAATCCCGGATCTCCAGGATCATGCCCTGGGTCAAAAGCAGCGCTAAACTGCTGAGCCACCTGGGCTGCCCAAGTGTGTACAAATTAATATTAAAAGAAGTTTGTATTCTCTGAATATAAACCAGCTAGGTGATACGCAATTCACTTAAAGAAAGAGGGTTGGGTGGCAGAGGCAGGACACACAGAATTAAGTGATTTTAAAACAGGCAGGAAGGAAAATTCGGGCAGCCTAGGTGGTACAGTGGTTTAGCGCCGCCTTCGGCCCAGGGCGTGATCCTGGAGACCAGGGATTGAGCCCCACATCCGGCTCCCTGCATGGAGCCTGCTTCTCCCTTTGCCTGTGTCTCTGCCTCTCTCTCTCAACGTCTCTCATGAATAAATAAATAAAATCTTTTTTTTAAAAAAAAAAAAGGAAAACTCAAGAGAACAGTATTTCAGTTCAACAAGAAACTGTTAAATTTCTACCCTGTATTTACGCAGACATCTGTTTGTACTCTCATGACATACATTACATTCTATGTCATAATCCAGATATTTCTTATTTCCATGGATGTCTGTTTCACCTACAAATGTTAAGTTCTTTTAAGGCCAGAAACCACATCTTGATCATTACTCTGTCTCCTACGGTGGCTACTAATAAAAAAGTGATGGCTGAACTGCCTCTAAAATGCTAACTTCCTCACAATTAGTACAATTAGAAATATTCATATGTCATTTTATCAAAAGAGAAACTCTAAATGTGGTAAATATCAGAGGTTTTAAATATAATTAGAATTGGGGGACCTGGTGACTCAAACGGCATCTGCTTTCAGCTCAGGTCATAATCCTAGGGTCCTGGGACTGAGTCCCACATCAGCACAGAGTCTGCTTCTGCTTCTTCTTTTCCCTCTTCTCTGGCTCATGCTCATGCTTTTTCTCTCTCAAAAAAAAAATAAATTAAATCTTTAAAAAAATAAATGTTCCTTTTGGCATAAAGGAGGTCTTCTTATTTTTGCTCACTGAACTTTCTCCCTTAATCATGGTTTTGCTTTCGCTCTAATCTTAATGTTCTTCCTTTTCATATAAATATCAATAATAACACTTTCCCTTCAATAATAGTAATGATAGAACTTGTGGAGAATAAGGGACTTCAGGATGAAAGAAGTTAGGCAGTCACTGAATATTAGGATGATTAATAATGGAAAAATTTTCTGGCATAATCTAAAATAATTTAGTTAACTAGATATTTTGACAACTCCAATCCATTCAAGTCAGTTCACAAACATTTATTTATCACCTACCATGTATGAGAGGTACTGAAGAAACTAAAATAAATTAGACACTACAAATTTATAATCTAGTAGGTAAAGTATACATAGATAATTTTCACTTATCCAGGGGCAGATTAACTAGTTTTCAGATTAATCTCTGTGAGGGATAATAGCTATTTCAGGACATGGACTAGGGAAAAATAGATTAGGTATGATTTACCATCAGCCTTGAGGCTGGGTTCTAGTCAGGGCAAAAAGGAGAACAAGCAGCATAAGTCTCTCTCCCAATTCTCAACAAAAAATGCTCTCCTAAGTAATCAAGAACAGACTATTGCTTTGTTTTGTTTTCATTGATTTTTTTTTTTTTTTTAGGAGGGAGAGAGAGAGAGAGACAGAAAGGAGGGGGAGGAGAGACAGAATCTTTAGGCTCCACACTCAGCACAGAGCCCGATGCAGGGCTCACTCTCACATCCCTGAGATCATGACCTAAGCCGAAATCAAGAGTTGGGTGTTTAACTGCCTGAGTTACCCAGACATTCCCTGATTTTAGTTTATACCCAAAGTCTCTCAGCAATCTCCTCCTCCATTTACTTGGTTAATCATACTTTTAATTATACTTTTTACCTTTGTCTTTAACTCTTTTCCCCTAACTCAATAAACATTCAATTACAAATGGCAATAGGAAACATTAAGAGATTAAGGTCAGCCAGAGATATGAAAAAAAAGTAGGCTAGCATAGCTAAAGAAGAAAAAGTAAACTTATTATAATACTCTAACCATACCTGCTTCAGAAATGGAAGGAGGGAGTTCACAGAGGAAGGGACAGCGAAAGCAAGACAGGTTGGGAAATAAGATTTTACTAATTTATTTATATAGGTCAATGTTTTGACTATCAAATGTGTCAGTAGGCTTTGAAGAAAATATTAGACCATGTACATTTCTTTAGAAAAGAAAGGTACAGGGTGCCTGGGTGGCTCAGCGGTTTGATGCCTGCCTTTGGCCCAGGGTGTGGTCCTGGAGTCCCAGGATCAAGTCCCGTGTCGAGATCCCTACATGGAGCCTGCTTCTCCCTCTGCCTATGTCTCTGTCTCTCTCTGTGTCTCTCATGAATAAAATAAAATAAAATATTTTTTTTTTAAAAAAGAAAGGTACAAATTATATATTGCATAAACTATAAATTTTTTTTAAAAGTAGGTGCCATGCTCAATGGAGGATTGAATTCATGACCCCGATACTGAGAGCTGCATGTTCTGCCAACTGAGCCAGTCAAGGGCCTCTATAAATCATAACTATTTTACATATTATGATATATTAAATATATTTTATATTAAATATAAACATATATACTTTTATATGGCTAACTACATAGAAAATACCTACTGAAATCCAAAATATTACCAATGATTTTTATAAGATGGAATTGTAAATTTGGCCTTTACTTGATAATTTTAAAAACTAAAAAAAATAGTATGTGAAAACTTAGTAAATGTAAGTGATTCAAACCAGAGAAAATTCCTCTTTGTCAATCCCTCACTTGCCCTCAGCTAAATCCCACTAGTGCTCTATACAGAAAATCTTTTCGGTCCACACCTTTTACTCTGTATTTATACATATACGCACACATGTATGTGGTAGATCATCTTTTAAATGCATAAATGGGATAATACAATAAATATTAACTCTTTCTCGTTAGAGATCTTTTCATGTTGGTAACAGCTGTATGATATTCATAAAGATGTGCCGAAATTTGTCCACCCCCTTTTGATAGACATTTAGACTTTCTCCCCTTTTCCATTATTGCAAACATTCCTGCTATTTATTATTTTTAAAAAAGATTTTTATTTATTTATTCATGAGAGACACACAGAGAGAGAGGCAGAGACACAGGCAGAGGGAGAGGCAGGCTCCATCCAGGGAGCCTGATGTGGGACTTGATCCCGGGTCTCCAGGATCAGGCCCTGGGCTGAAGGCGGTGCTAAACCTCTGAGCCACCCGAGCTGCCCACATTCCTGCTACTTAAAAGCATATATACAGGGCAGCCCTGCCTGTATCTCTGTCTCTCTCTGTGTCTCTCATGAATGAATAAATAAAATAGAAAGAAAGAAAGAAAGAAAGAAAGAAAGAAAGAAAGAAAGAAAGAAAGAAAGAAAGAAAGAAAGAAAGAAAGAAAAAAGAAAGAAAGAAAAGAAAGGCATATAACAATAACTAAACTTTTTTTTTGCCTAATACTAAATTCTTTAAATTTTCTACAGTGAAGGTAGATTTCTGTTAATATTTTAAAAATTTTAAACCCCTTTCTAAACATTAAAAAAAAAAAAAAGAAAATCTCACTTTGAATTGGAAATAAATGTTTCCAGAGAGTTCTGTTTGATATTGCCCATTTTACTGCTGCCAACGCCATGGTGAATCAAGATGTTATTGGGTGGTGTGAAAGATGATTTGAAGAGACAGATTTTAAATTCTGCTTCCACGCATAACTATTTTCATCCCTGTATAAAAGATAAAGAAAAGTTAGTGCTACCTATGATAAATGAAAGTGATACAATATATTGAACACTGCAAGAGCAAGATAGGACTCTCTACCTAGTACTATACAGTCATGAGAAAAACTACTCAACACCTTTCCATTTCCTTGTGATATAGGACAAAGAACATCACTGAAATATAAAACCTAAAACCCTGAACTAGGTCTATTACTATTTTTCTTTTTTTTTTTTTTATTAAAAGATTTTATTTATTTATTCATGATAGAGAGAGAGAGAGAGAGAGAGAGAGGGAGGCAGAGACACAGGCAGAGGGAGAAGCAGGCTCCATGACAGGAGGCTGATGTGGGACTCGATCCCGGGACTCCAGGATCGTGCCCCGGGCCAAAGGCAGGCGCTAAACCGCTGAGCCACCCAGGGATCCCCTATTACTATTTTTCTTAAATGCAAACTTCTCAGCACCTAGTGTAATTCTTTCCATTTAGTGAGCACTCAGCAAATGTATAATTCTCCTTAGAAACAGTCACTCTCACATGCTAGAGAAGCATCCTCCTTCACAATGCTAATGTGTTTGTGTACAGCCTCTCAGGTGCCATCCGCAAGACCGTACTACATCCCTTGAAGTAGGGTTGTTTCTAATTGAATACTAAACAAGGCCTATCCTTTGCCTATTAAACACTGATTTAGAGAAACACAGAAACACTCTAGAGTCCCAAGTAAAGTTTCACTCTTTTATAGATGTATAAGGTTTTCAACTTTCCAGGTGCTTTCTCACATACTATTTCATTCTATTCTATTAATCATGACAGGTATCTATTTTCATTAGTGAAGAAACTCAAGTACAAAATATAAGTCATTTGCTTCCAAGAACTTTAGGGTCAGTCATTTATAAACTGGGAAACTTTGGGCAAGTTAACTGAATGACCCTTTGTTCCTTCCACGGTAAAATGGGGACCACCACCACAACCTCCGTGGCTTTTGTCAGTAAATCACTTAAAATCATTGCTACATCCATGGTTTTTAATTGGCCTCGATGACTATTCGAGCCCTTCCCCCATCGTGATAAAATGGAATTGGGGGGCAGCCCGGGTGGCCCAGCGGTTTACCACCACCTTCAGCCCAGGGCGTGGCCCTGGAGACCCGGAATGAGTCCCACGTCGGGCTCTGTGCATGGAGCCTGCTTCTCCCTCTGCCTGTGTCCCTGCCTCTCTCTCTCTCTCTCTGTCTCTCATGAATAAATAAATAAAATCTTTTAAAAAAAAAACACATCAACTTAAAAAATTATGCCACTGGGGCGTCGGCCCCAACAGTCTTATCTGCTAGACTAAATTAAGCAGGGCGATTCCCTGCGCGGTCAGTTCATTTGCACTACTTTCCCTGAGTTCATACGGTGTGCTTCATACAGCTGACGCCCCGTTTCCCTATACCGCATTGGCTCTGTCTCAAGTCCGTGAAGTAGGCATCTCCGTTTTATACACTGAGAACCGAGGCTCCGAGAGGCCAAACGATTTACCTGCCCACTGTTCCGCCGCTTTACACGTGGCCCGGGTGGAACACACAACCACTCTTCTGACCACGAGCCAAGGAACACACTATCTAGGGGGGCACTGGGTCCCCTCAATCCGGGGCAAGCACACCCAGCCGAAAGACCGCTCGCTCCAGGGAGAGAGATTCCGACAGTGAATTCCGTGGCCTAGAAGTCAACCCCAAAGCGGAAGCTTCGGAGAGCCTCGAAGGATCCGCGGTTTCCGAAGCGGGTAGCAGGAGCCTCGCGGCGAGCGCCCAGCGCCAGTCAAGAGTTGGGCTGGAGGAGTCCCCGAGCGAACCGCGCAGGCAGGAGGGCAGCCCCCGGAAGGGCACGGCCGTACGCCGGCTCTCCCGCAGTACGGACAGCGACTGGGGACACCAGGGGCTTTACCTTGCCGCGAACGGCAGGGAGGAGACATAGACACCTCCACATAAAGCTGGACCTGCCTCACTTCTAGAAACTCCTTGACCAGAGGAGGAGAGGGCAGCAGTTACCTGTGTCAGCGGCACCACGAGCCCGCCATTTTACCTCAATCCGGGTCCCAGAAGACACCGCGTCGTGCGCCTCCCTGGCCCGCGGGGCACTCTGGGAAATGTAGTCTCCGCGGCCAGAGCTCTGGGTGGGCGCGCGAGGGCGGGGATCCACGGAACCTGCCTCCGAGTTTAGTAGCAGGTGGTTGCCTCAACTTTTAGCCTCGTAATCCCCCCCCCACCGCAAACCCAAAATCTCTGCCCCACGCACACATCCTTAGAAAGTAACAAGCACTATCTTATTTTAAAGCTTATACAAATAATTAGAGGGGCTCCAGATGGATTTTTGCTGAATGAGTTAAGGTTTCCTGGGTGAAGAGGTAATTTCAGAGAAGCACTGAAGGCGGGTGAGGTTGGATTTGACGTTTGATATAGGGAAGTGGGGAGGCCCTTCCACCAGGAAGCACAAAACTGTGTTCTGAGAATTGTGTTGACTATTTATTCATTATGGGAGGAAGAAAACGTGCAGAATCCTGAACCTTAGAAGGCCCCTGGGCCTTTGTTGGCACTTTTCCATTCTCATTGCCAGCAATGCTTTTCTCTCACCTCTTCTCATGACCGCTGCCTTACTTTATAGAGGTCTTGCTCAAATATCCTCTTGGAGAGGACTATATCAATAAAAGACATGGTCCTGTTCTTATCCCATTGCCCTCCTTTAGTTTTCTTCATAATACAAGGCATTATTACATAACACTTTATTATAATTTGTTTCCTTGTGTAATGCCTGTCTCTTATGCTAGAATGCAAGCTCCATGAAGGCAGGATACAAGTATCTATCATGTTCTATACCATATAGAAACCTGACATCTGGAACTGCATCTGGCTGCATTGTATGCCTCCAATATTTGTTGACTGAATGAGACGAGTGACACTGCAGATATCCAAAACAGTAGATGATTGACTGTGGAAACAGCCACTTAGATTGTGAATTCCTTTGTCAAATGATGTGCAAAATTTTGTATCTATCTACGCTTTTCTGAAAAAAAAACTTCATAACTTTTATCCTGTATTTAAGGGGGACAATAAATTCCTCAAAAAGTTAAGGGCCACAGGTAGGTCTGGGTGGCTCAGTTGGTTACTTGGTGACTCCTGATCTCAGCTCAGGTCTTGATTTAAGGGTTGTGAGTTCAAGCCTTGTTTTGGGTTCTACACTGGGTGTGGAGCCTACTTCAAAAACAAAAACTTAAAGGCCATAGTCCTGAGTGGTTAATAAGGAAAATAAGTGAACGTACTATAAATTCACAGTAAAGAAAAGTAAATGTAGGCTTCTTTGGTGTCTCTCCTTATTTTTACAGATACCAAGCTTGTTCTGCTACTGATCTTTGCTCCTATAGAAGCCCATACTGAGGGCCCATGTGTCTCCTTTCTAATCTTGTCCATCCTTCAAAGCTGTTTTGTAATGTCTTTCTGAACTATGTTGTAGGAAGAGACAGAGAGGAGAAACAGACTTGAATGAACAATCAACCAGACTTTAAATTCGCTACACAATGCGGAAGAGGGATGGATCAAAGATAACTCCAGAGGACCTGTCTTGATGGCTGTGAGCTGAATGGGGACCACTGACTGACAGGGAGACTCACTTTATGAAGCCAGGAAAAACTGACAAAGCTGAGACCAGAAAGAAGCCAACCACATGCACAGGAAAGAGAGTAGAGACAGTTATAGACAAAAGGAACAACTTAAAAGTCTAAAGCAGGTAGAAGTAATTTACCCTGTACTGGAGTATAGTGTGGAGGAGACTGGCAGGAGATGAGGTGAATAGGAGCCACATTATGTTGAGCTTTGGTAGACCTTGGTAGTGATCACGTGGAATCAGGGCAGAGGCCATATGCATAGATGTTATGCTAAATGCAGTAGGGAGTCCCTGAAGGGTTCTAACACCAAAAGAGAAACATGATACGATTTTTATTCTTATTTATTCTCATATTTTAAAAGATTTTATTAATTAATTAATTTGAGAGAGTGAGAGAGCACAAGCCAGGGGGAGGGGCAAAGGGAGAGGGAGAAGTAGTCTCTTCACTGCACTGAGCCCAAGCATGGGTTTGATCCCAGGACCCTGAGATCATGACCTGAGCCAAAGGCAGATGCTTAACTGACTGAGCCACTCAGGCACCCCATAATTTATGTTTTTAAAACATTACTCTGGCTCTACTTGTGAGGAGTGGTGACATGATAGAAGATCTCAACCATGAGATGAAAAGAAGGGCAGAGTGTCTAGATTTATATTGTAAGTAGAAATAATGATTGAACCTGCTGATAGATTGATTGGATGTGGGAGTTGAGGGAGAGGAAAGACACCTCAGGAGATATTTTGATGACTAGCTTGAAGGTGGTATGGCTCAGGAGTTAGGAGAGACTGAAAGAGGAGCAGGTTGTGCGGGGGGGCGGGGGGCTCTGATGAGGGTGGAAATGAGTAATTCCATTTGGGTGTTGTTGAGTTTGAGATATCACTGAGATATAATTAGAGATATGATAGAAATATAAAATGAGGCAGGTGGTTGAACAGATGTGTCTGCAGAATAGAGTTTAGACTAGATAAAGCTTTGAAGTCAGGGGGATGTTGAGTATATATAGGGAGACGGTGTAGGAAAAAAAGAAAATGAAAAAGGCCCCAGATATGGGCCCAGGGAACTCCAACATTTAGAGGTCACGTGGAGGAGGACACCCAGCAAGGACCTCTCAGAGGTGGCAAGGAGAGAGGCAGTGTGAAAACCAAGGGACTGTGGTGTGAGAACAGCTAAGGGAGGCATGTTGTAAAGTAGTGTGATGCCAGCAAGTTTAAAACTATAATTCCCAAAAATACAAATTTGAAACACCAGTGATAGCTTACATTGGCTTACATAAAAGCAGTTTAAATTCATGCTAGTAAAATGATGAAACAGACAAAATTGTAAGACTTTGGAGTTGGCTTCAAATGGCTTCAGCTGCAAATGGGATTGATTTTCCTT